ATGTAAAACTCGATCCTGGAAGCGCTCTTGGAACTCTGAAGAGGTTCATTGAACAACTCTATTAGTTCTACTCTCCTATTCGCCTCTGAAAGATATGTTTCGCAAATTATGTTTTTTCGATTGGCTCCTGCCGTGTTGTATGCGTATTGTTCCGTTTTCATTGGGAAGACCTATTCTTGCTGATATCATAAAAACGAGAATCCACCATATACCGCGCGTAAAAATTCGAAAATTGTATGATTAAATGGACACGCATGGAATGAACGAGTTCCCATCAGGATCAGATTCGGATTTCATTTTCTCTGGTTTCTGTAAATTCGATGATCTCGCTCATTAATAACGGAATAGTATGTGTGCCTGAGTTTCAAGCCCAATGCCGATAACACTGCCTTGACTAGCATCGATGCAACGTACGTCAAAATACTCCCTTTCCTCTCAGCAGGATCCGCTACAGAGAACGATGATCGATTTTGATTGATTTGCCCGGACTCCTACTACTCCAAACACACAAGCAATGCACGCATGACATGGGATTGATAACGCAAGACAGCAATTTTCTGATGATAAGACGAGTAACTGCGGAAACATTAGCAGTAGTTATTAACGAAGTGCAATGATAGAGAGAGAGGAAAAAATGGTGCTTTTGACTCAGACATCTCTCTCGTCATCATCACCACACAATCATAGAATATAACCTCTCCCTTCTACAACGGAGTCGTAGAAGAAATTGAGAGATTTTAGCGAGACATGTTCAAAGAGGGATCACTAATCTTTACAGTAAGCTGTGAGCTTTTCGGCGAAAGGCAATTCATTACCAACCGAAAAGTTAACGAACTTCACGATCAACAACAGCATCAACAGAAGATCAGTGCATGGATCAGTAGTGGAGTGCTTTTACAAATGACAGATTGCATTGGGATCTCTTACAGCACTGATGCTGGTATAGAACCGATCCCACATAAAAATGATCATAAAACGCCAGCAACATGACCTGCTGGTTTGATACACGATAAAAGTATAGATATCACATTTTAAGATTTTGTTGTCCTCGCAGCATGCTCACGCTCCACTTTGTTGAAATAGGGCACACAAATCAGACACAAAATAGCTCCGAAGACGCATACACCAGCGAGAAGCATGAAATAGTAATCATAATGAGAACTTCGGTACATGACAGACTCGGGATAATCGTCTGGATCGAAATTGGGCATCCAGGGAGCGCAGAGTTGGAAGACTACACCAGCCAAGAGATTAGAGAAGGAGAAGAAGAGCAAATTGAGAGCCGAGGATACAGCCTTGAGTTGTCCAGGAGAGTAAGTGAAGGCTACCTCGTATGAGGTCGAGATTAGGAAGATTTCACCAGTGGCAATGAGGAAGAACTGGGGTACCTGCCACCATACCGAGACGCTATACAGAGGACGGTCCATCACCGAGTACTCGACGCCTAACGCACAAAGCAGAGCAATACAGCCCAGCATTGAACCAATGCACATCCTTAAAAGAGCGGACGGCATATGGTTGTGCTGACGAAGATACTTGTATAGGACACCATCGATCCATAGGGAGTTGACAATGATGGATATACTATCCACATTCTGCATCATAGCGGCTGGGATCTGCCAGCCGAAAGTATCACGATTCATCTTTTCCGCTTGGGTCAAGAAAGCTGTGGTCATTTGAGCATAAGCGATCATGAAGGGAATAACCAAGGCAAAGAGAGGGATAAGCCGAAAGATTGCCTTGGCATCCTCGATGAACTGATCCTCGAAACGACCACCACGACTCTTCTTGCATTTCTCCAGAGAGCAATGGATAGCAGAGTCGCCAATGACCTCAATGACCCTGATAACAGCAGATCCCTGTGGCTTTGGCTTCACAAATCTGCCCATCACTCCACCAATAAGGAAGATTGTTGTGGCAATAATGAATGCGAAGAACGGTACCAGATAAGCCACGAAGAAGGATACCTTCTCGACCAGGATCGGAGTAACCAGACCACCTATCAAGCCTCCCACATTAATGGAAGCATAGAAATAAGTGAAGAACCTCGTAATTTGAGCTCTATGAAGCTCAGGATGGAATTGCTGAGCACCCATAACATTAACACAGCTCTTGATTCCCCCACTTCCGAAAGTGATAAGCACCATAAGGGAGAGGTGAATCATCCAAGGTTCGGATATGCTCTCGATCGAAGCCAAGCATAGTAGGCCGAGTCCGATCGTATAGACCACGGAGAAAGCTAGAATGGTATTGTAAACACCCAATAGGGTATCGGCCAGAACAGCTGCAACCAATGGTGTAACATAGATAACGGCTTGGAATGCTGATATATATGTATTTGCTGCCGTATCGTTGTACCCAAGGAACTCCTTCAAGAACGTCTGCAAATTTGGCGTTATACCATAGAAAGCTAGACGCTCACAGAGCTCCTGTATGAGTACAAAAATGGTAGCTTGCATCATCGGATGCTCAAAGTAGTGGTAGACATTACCAGAAGCATCAGTCCATGTCAACGGCTTCTTGTGATTCACCGGCGACACATCTTGCTTGACAACCTCCTCCACACCAGAATAGGACTTCAGCTCAGATGAATCTGCCATCTTGATACTAAACTCTTGAGATAAGATACGTTACCAACTTGTCAAATGGCTAAACGTGTACTTGCCTAATGGACAGCGCTAGACCGAAACCATAGCGTCACCGACACAGATTCTGTCCCTTCAGTCGTCAGTGATGAGATCATCCATAAGGCTCGGGTGAGAGGAGTTCTTTTTCCCTAAGGTCTGCGAGGTCTCCACCGCGTATTGTCATAATGGATTCGTGTCCTTGTCGAACAAACTCAAGATCGTATTCTTCGTTGCAGAGCCCCACAATGGCTGTCCCCCTCGAGTGAAAGGTGCTCTAGCTCAGCCTATTGCTCGAATGATCACGATGTTGATGTTGGAAATGAGGGGATTATTCGATTGGATTTTGCAGCTTTAGTTTTGGTTGTGTGACCAATTAGTGTATAATGTTCCACCGACTAACTCGAGGTTCATCTAATGCGGAAGATCCTCGGAAGCCTCTTGTATGGACAGACCCTTCCGGAAACACGTACCACTACTTCGAGCACCCTTTCTTCAATGCTACCATCTTTGTCCTTACCATGGAAATGTGTGAGCGTTTGGCGTTCACGGGCCTGCTACCTAACTTGAAGAACTTCCTCAACGAGTTTTTGGATTACGATGATACCACTGCTTACTCTTATATAAGCGACTTCCAAGCCATTATGTACTTCACGCCGCTTATTGGAGCTGCTGTAGCCGATACTCTGCTGGGCTTGTACAAGACTATTATCATTTTCTCTGCTATCTACATGCTCGGTTTAGTGTTCGTCGTCCTCGCTGCAGTGCCGTCTATATCCGAAGCCTGGATGGTGCATCTTGGTCTAATGACACTGATTGGCTTGGGCAGTGGTGGAATCAAAAGTTGTGTTAATGTTATGGGAGCACAACAATTCCACCCTGAACTTCACAAGTCGGATATCACCAGATATTATACGTACTTCTATGCTTCCATCCAGATAGGCTCTATCATTGGTGGTATTGTTACTCCCTTGATGGTCGAGGGAGTTTCCTATTTCGCCGCTTTCTGCGTTCCTTTGGCAGCGTTCGTCGTTGGGTTCGCCATATTCCTCTACGCAAGTTTCACGAACCGTTATGTGAAGCCCCAGCCGCAAGGCTCTGCTGTTGTCCAAGTCGCCGAAGTCATCGGTGCTGCCTGTATGAAATGCTCCTTGGAAAAGTGCAAGAAGTCTCGTGGCGGGAAGTACGAGGACGGCTTCATTGAAGATGCTAAGATGCTTTTCCGTCTCATCCCTTTATTCTGTTTAATTATTCCCTTCATGATTGCCTATCAGCAGATGACGACAGCGTGGGTGACACAGGGTTCTAAAATGAACCGTGATACATTCGGTTGGGATATCCCTGTACCGTTGATGCAGAATGTCGATCCCATCGCTGTTGCACTGACTTCTGTGGTTGTGGATGGAGCCGTATATCCCGGTCTACGCCGATTGGGTCTCATGCCATCGCCTTTAGTCCGATGTGCTATAGGCTCTTTTGCTGGTGCCATCGCTCTTGTCTGTTCTTTGATCGTGGAGTACGTCGTGATGGCCCATCCGGTTTTCACTATATCCATTTGGTGGCAGGTATTGCAATATTGGTTCATTGCTGTGGGTGAGATTTTCCTAGTTTCGACTTCATATGAGATCGCCTTTACGAATTCACCCTCTTCATTGAAGGCTGTTGCTTCCGCTATCAATTTACTTTTCTTCTCTATCGCTGGTCTAATCTCTGGTGCTCTGTTCAACGCCTGTTCGCCTTGGATGCCGACTTTCGACCCTTCCAACCCGACCGATGCTACTGTGAAAGATGCGCACTACGACTACTTCTTCATCCTGTTGGCAGTTATTTCTGCGATTGGTGGTTGCTGTGCACTAGCTTTGATACCGTATTATAATAAAGTATCAAGAGAGAATCAGGCTCACCTCGATGAGGAGGCCATGTCTAGTAAGAGTAGCGACCTCAGTGTCAAAGTGCCCGCAGAAAAAGCTGAGGTTTGAGAAGAAGATTATGGTTGATATATGTGAATTTCCGCATCATTAACATTCGATCATTGTTCATGTAAACTTTAGTAATTTCGTCGTGCCCATCTTGTAATTTTCCTACGCGCATTTCTTTACTCTCTTTTCGCTATTCAATCAGCTTACCCAGTTGGTTCACCGGTAATCGGCCGAGGCGAGTCTGACTCATCTTCCTTACATATGAAAATGTGTATAATGTCCCTTGATCATATTGAATGATTGTCGGACTAGATTACAAAACTTAACTATAATTTCACTCCTATCTTCATATCGTTTGGTATACTCGTTCATTGAACACCATTTTGCTTTTCTCTAAATGCCTTTCTAATCTCCAACTGGTCATTCTTACTCAATATTCGTTCTTGTGTTCAACCACAATTCCAAAGACATGTATAGGGGGTAGTTATGGAGATTCTATATCGTACTACAACCATGCAAGAAAGCAATGGGTAACCTGAAAGATACTGATGTACTTGACTCAAGCATGATTGGATACGATGGATTGTCTTCAAAAAATCCATCAAGCTTTCTCGATAGGCATGGTCTTGTACGCTAGCTCAGGCGGTTATTGTGCACGCCCATATCACGCCGCTCACTTCAATGTACATTGTCTTGAGTCTAAACACTCTTATAGTGTATGCTTCTGTCGACCTAGGTATTCTCGTGCAAGTGTGCATTTCTCTGCAGGAAGGCGGGAAGTTACGTTGCAAATTCTCTGTGACTTATGGGAGGATTTACCATTATCTACACGAAGAAGGTCGTTGAACGGCATGGGTCGGAACCTGAATGCCCTGCCGCACGGCATTCAAGGAGACGCACTTAGCATACTGAGTTGCCAAATCGAGAAGCGACAGTGATGGTGTAAGATGTAGAACTGTACTCATACTCCAACATGTTAACAACTGAGGCAAGTGTAATACGATCAAACATCAGCTTCTTTGAGTATCATGTCCATGAATTCCTCTTCATCTGCAGAGAGGAGGCTTGCTTTCATGTTGACTTTTGGCGGGGTTCCAGGAGGGCAGACAGCGTTGGGCAGACCTGAGGTTAAAGAAGCACATGATAATGTGCTTGCCAAACCCGCAAGTCTAAACCTACTTAACGTAACAGCATTAGTAGTTTCTTCTAGCAGTGAGCCCAGCATCTCATCAACCTCAGCATCGTTATTAACATCAGCTTGGTGGCTCTGATGCTCAGGAGATGGCTGGACCCTGACAGAGCATCGCTGGCGCCATAAACGCTGTGCTGAGACATCTCAAGTGTCTAGTGTATCGCACACCCATCATGACGAGGCGGCAACCATTTCAGAACGTATCAAAGGTAAAGACACGCAAATGGGCAACAGGGAGGCGTATCGAACGGTCCGGACCGGATCAGGGTGTCCATCCCTACCCTAGAACCAGCGCTGACACTTCGGACGTCCTAGCGGAAATGGAGGCTAACCTGCAAAGGAAGGATGCTCAGCGGTCACATAGCAGTCTCGTGCCTGGAACTATTGAAATCGGCAAAGTCCGATGTTTCACAGCAGGTGCTGTTGACGCCTCGCATCGCGTCTCCCAGCTCGGAATCTTCATCTCCTGGCGACCGTGGACTGCCAACTCGCACTATTAGACTCGCAGCAGCCAGATCGGACCCAGCCGCAGCAGTTCGCCCAATATCCGAATTCTCGCGGCCGCGCACCTGGGCGCTCAGAAATGAAACGGTAAGATACCCAAAGATACGTATGCTATCTTCCTTCCAGCGTTGATACGATGTATTTCGGAATTACTACCTCGTCGCTAACGTCATCTGTAGGGACAAATTCGTCAACTCTACTATGTATGCGTCCTATTTGTCGCAATCGGGAGCCCAGTGATCCCATTGTAGCGAGACGTGTCGAATCTTCGTTGTGCGCACTTCATGCACTTGCACGAAGCCGTTTCGTCGAATCTTGCGCCGATCATTTCCCTCTTCATTATGGGTTCGTGGAAGATGAAGGTTACTGTAGCACATTTGTCCCGTACGTTGCACTCGCCCTGAGGTTCTTGCCAGAGAGCTCCGGTGTAAAGCTGTGGAATGTTGCTTCGGTCGTCTAGGCACACTGCTGGTCCTGCAGGATTTGCCTTTGTCTCATAACGGCTATCGTATGTTCCCCCCAGACTGTGTCAGCGATTATGAAAATGAATCGGACCATGCTTCGTACGATTCCGACGGTAAGTTTGATGCATACACTCGTTCGGATTTCTGGTAACTGCCTTCCATGGGTTTTCTTTGCTTTTGGTGTTGTGCCGCTCACTTTGTAACGTCATTGCTGTCTTCTCTCAGATGAGCCAAGCTTCTTCGAAAGGTTCCCCTTTCGCTTGTGCAAACGCCGTCGTAAACCCTCCGATGAAAAGGAGAACTCAGGTGAGATGAGGGCGTTGTGACAGCTTCAGTTTACCTCGTAGTTTCCTAAATCACTCGCTTGTTGATTTTGCATCTGTCTTCTGACATGTGCTCTTGCTATCAGGTGTTCAGACCCCTAAGAAGGGCATCCCATCGGAGACTCTACCCAATGCGCCGATAACGGCTGGTGCTGCCATTCGAATGTGAGACTAGCTCTGATGGGTCTTCCGTATTGTGGTTTTCTCGTTTGCGTGCTTTTGATGAGAGGATGTATTGATTCAGGTTTGGCGACGAGCTGTTACCCTACGAACAAAGCGAGATCGTTGGTTATCCTGAGATCTGGTTCATGGGGCACCCCTTGGCAAGAAAGTTCTGGAGAGGTTTAATAGCTGTAAGGCGAGCTACTGCCAGCATGTTTCATTCGGTCCTCAGTGCTTATGCAACGCGTATGCTGTTATGAATGGAAAGTTTGAGTACCATCAGTGTGAGCTCGACAGTAATGGCTACGATGATGTCTATGGGGACTATCGTATTGTTTTGAATCATCATGTCGGTTACCGATTCGAGGTGAGCTGGAGCCGGTCAGAGCTCCTCGTTATTATCAACGATCAGATTCTCGATCTCTTCGGGCGCGGTGATTTCGGTCATGTACTGGATGTGTTCGATCACAAAACTAAGTGAGCAGATCTCATTTACTAATCTTTCGAGGCAACATTACGTGGTGAAATTCATGTTTACGTCTGGTCGACCCTTGGAGACCATATGGAATCAGTCAGTTTTCTTGTGGCTGTTGCTGATGGTATATCGCTTTCTCCGTGAATGCAGCAAGATGTGCTCATTTTACTGGCTTGATGGTTGCCGTATTCTCAGATGCCGCCGGGCTCTCAAGATGGTGCGTAAACCAGAATTCGATCTCAGTAACCAGTACGTCGAGTTACGCACGTTCAGGCACTTGGTGAGTTATCCTTCTTATGGTTATTCAAGTAGCGCATGTTGCCTCAGGAGCGATCTCGCGGCTGTGAAGCTGTCATTACCTTCTATGAAGCCCTCTATTTCCGCCATCATCTATGCTTAGTGTTAGAGCCCGGCTACATGAGCCTGTAAGTTCGCCAAGGGCTTCATGTGTAGGTCATTGATACTCTCAGTCACGACTACCTCAACGGCCTCGAGTCGAAACGCTTACCATTGACCACTATTTGTGCAATTGCTAAGCAGTTGATCTCAGCCCTCGTGTATTTGAAAGACTACGGGTGGGTGGCTCGTTAAAGTTGGGTGCACATTTTCTGTCTTCAGAGTAATACACTGCAATCTGAAACCCCAGAACATTCTCTTGATGTCGCCGGTTTCGAATGAAATCCGTGTTATCGGCTTTGGAACCTCGAAAAGGTGGCCTCTCTTCAGACGACCGTTGAGAGAATTTCAGAGCCTGTAAGTCCAGGTCAAACTCGTGCCTTAGATCTATTGCGATTACATTTCAGGAGGTATCGTAGTCCAGAAGTCATGCTACGGCTACCTTGCGACGAGAAAATCGATATGTGGAGCCTTGGATGTATTCTTGCTGAGCTGTTCACTGGTGAGATGATCTCTCCTAGTGTATCTCTGTCGCTATTGGCTGCATTGTAGGTGTCCCATTGTTCGATGGAGAGAACGAAGTAAACCAGTTGAAGCTGATGTCGGTGGTGATTGGGCAACTTCCCGCCTATTTGGCGTCACACTGCTTCAGAAGGAGAGCTTTAGCGTCCGGTAAGGCTGCGAGTGTGCTTTGCGTGGATTTTCATGGGCCCTTGTTTGTTAGCTATCAGCTCTGGGAAGATATCAGCCTCGAGATCTCCTAGGCCGGCCTCGTCATTTTCTGATGATTTCCTTGCCATTCACGAAAGTGAGTGCTTTCTGTATTGGTTCATGGCTTGATTAATAGGTCGTTCAGGTGTACCCTTCGAGAAAGATTTCCAGGATTTCATCCGGAAGATTCTGGTCTGGGATTCTAAGAAAAGACTCAGCGCGGCGAATGCGTGCTCTCATCCAGTGAGTCGCTCCCTTCTGGCCTTCGTAGTTGTTGACGTTCGATGATGAAGTTTGCGCCGTTGAGGTTAACTTGGGAGTTATTTTTGTTTCGCTCAGTTGATATGCGCCCACCTGGATAAACTAGAAGAGGAGCACGACCGTGAGGAGGAGACCGCGCAGGCGGAATAACCCCGCCACCACGAGCACCTCAGTACATTAAAAGCTCGCTGCTTTAACGCAGTGGTTATTTATCTACACTGCAACTACGTGCAATGCCTTTATTTTGACTATTACGTACCCCTATTGGGGTCTCAGGTGACTCTCAAGATTTCTGAGTATCTTATGCTGTGCCAAGATGTGAGGCCAGCTTGCATTTATGGAATCGGTAGACCTATCGGGTTTTTACCCATTCTAATATCTAGAATTAGCGCGTAGCAGGATTTGATTGATGAACGTGAAAGCTGTGTGATGAGATCCTGAGTTGTGTTGGACGGGAGTGGGCTTGAAAGAGCAGTTAGACATAGGCTGAAGCCTGTTACACTTTGGCTGGTGTATTATGGTCAAACTATGGTCCAGCTTTACTTGTATCGGGAAAAGTAAGCCGGTGGGAAATTGTTCATCTGAAGTGACGAAAATGAGTAAAATTGTGTTTTATTAGTTGCTTGATCATGCCTCTCTACTTCTATTGGTCGCGGCTTCTTAGTAGTCGGCCAGGGATGCATCTCGCCGTTGCCATCACCTTCGTATTATCCGACTTATTCAGCGCCAGTGCCTTGGTTTGTCTACTGCCGTCCCCTATCGGTCTTCAGTATTCTATTACAGGTTGTGGCACCGTCTGTTATTATACCAACAGCTCCCTTCACACTACCTGCTCAGGCTAGTGTGGGTCTACCACAACAAACGCAAAGCTCGGTAGACGTCATAGCCTCAGTAGGATTGTACGTAGCGTCATCGGTAATGGTGAAATCGTCATGTTTAGGCCCCACAGCTGGCGCAGCCAGTGGTGCAAGTCGCTACTATAGTCCCTCCTACATTCAGCCCATCTGATACTGTAGCATCTCCGAAACCTGACGCCCCGGTTGTGGCGTTTATGCAGAACCCAGGTGAGCAGTGAAATGACGGCGATCTATTCACAAGCTGGGTTGGCTTCAGGTCCCCGCCAGCAGACCTCCGTTGAGGCTCCGCTGGGGTCTGGTGGCCTGCCTTACTATGCTGTTGTGCTTATCATCATCGGATCCCTTATCCTAGCGACACTAGTCTTCTATATCTGGACAGGTGATTACACACTCAACTCTCCCCACACGCTTTATTCGTTCTCGGCAGGTGTTCGGTCGAAGTCAGCAGCGACGCGGCTACAGCGTCTTTTCAAGGGTGGTCGGAAGCGAGAGGCTCCATCACCTTTGAGAAGCCATCGGGAGCGTCGGATGAGTTATCGTGAGCGGCTACAGCAGCATCAACGATATGGGAGTCACCTCGCCCCTCCTAGAGTGAGAAGAAGGGTTATATGGAATTAATCTTAGCTCTTGTGCCAGGTGGACTCAGACAGCGATCGACATTCGCGGCATCACCTCCACGTTAGCAGTGCGAACTCGCCTTCAGAGCAGCATAGGTGACTTCTCCTCACGCCGACTTAATCCCTGCCTGTATCTCAAGCACACCTTTTGTTAGTGAGCACCATCGGCATCATCACTATCATCATCATCGACACGGTGACAGGCGATACGACCCACCATCCAACCGTCACACTGGTAATCCCAACTCTGAAATAGGAGTGGCTGAGTCATCCGTTACGCCAAAGGGTTCGCCATTACTGTCCTCAGATAGAAGTCCCAAGCATTCTCGCTACAACCCCTGAGTGGTGACACGAAGACGTTTTTTTGACTACATATTTTTGACATTCATTACGCACCATAAATTCTGTGCATCTTTGTCGTCAGGAGTCAGTCTTGAGTGATGAGTTGGTGACATTTCGAATTCATCCGGAAGGGCGAGTGCCTTGAATATTCCCATCGCGATTTGTTCGCGTGCGGGAGTAACTTACACGTAGGACTCGGGTCTCTTTCCCTTCATTGCACATGGTCACCCTCATTCGCCGTTACTGTTACCTCACCGCCTAATATGCTTAGTTGCGTGGGCTGTCGGGACAGCATAGGCTTGCCACTCTAACTCGACAGGTTCACAAATCGATCCAACCATCGCAAGTTTCAATGCAGTGACCCATATCAACAACAGCTATGGAAGCTCAATCTGCGTATCCTCTCAAAGGTCCTGAGTTTTTTGAATCGCGGATTAGCAATTTCGTGAATCTTGAACACCAGTGGACAATCTCCAGTGGAGATTAAGACCCGGGTTGCGCACTTTGAAGTCTTGAGGCAACTTCAGGACTTGAAAGTATGCGGTCCGATCAGAGACGCGTGCATTACCAACTTCCTATTACACCGAGCCCTCGAGCAGGCGGCTATGGCTGCCTCGAGGAAATCACAGGCATCTCATCCTTAGAAGGTTATGGGACAGTCTCACTCATACTGGCGTGTACCAAGTCGCCAAGCCGTACACTGTCGCCTCTGTACGATCCTACGCGGGTCCATTGGGGATCAACATCAAGCGATTCGGTCCCATTAACCGATCACCTGACGGGAGCACGGGACTCCGAAAGATTCGTTCAATTTGAGGAACTCCATGGGAGTCGCTGATTGTGTTGATTTAGACCGGATTTCTGGCCGAGTCGTTGACAAAATCCCTGAGCATCCTCGCCTGGGCCGTTTTCGGCGTAGATCACGGGTAGGCTGACCGTGAGTACGAGGAAAAGTACGACAAAATTTACGTGGAGTGTTAATACTATGAGGACCACGCTAGGTGGACTGTCCTCAGACGCAAAACCCCTCCGACCCCTTCGAAGTATGCAAGGTCAATGATCTTAGAATCTCGTCAGTCAAGAAGGGTTGTTCGCGGAGCCCACTAACTGCTCATGCACTCGAGCAAGCACAATGTTCATTTTGGACTAGCGCACGCCATCGTGATCGATTTGGTTTTAATTGCAATCATGACGCTGATGATGACGGAAGGCCTCTGATCCATCGATTGGTCGTCTTGAAGGACTTATGTGCAGATCGTCAGAACCCATTACGATTGCAGAGCCGACGCGATCAACAAAACGGCCAGACGGATGCGTGGTAGATAATCTCCCCGTGTTACGGTATGGCTTTTTGGGACGGACTTGATACCAGATCCTCCTATAGACTTCCTGATAGAACCTACAGCAACTGTGCGTGATAATTGCTTCAAATCACACAGGTCGAACTCGTCATCCTATCGTTGTTAGCCATTCTCTATTGTCGTAGACCTGTCGAGTTTAGTCGTCTCCACGTCCCCAACCGTACTTATCATCAGTTGTTCCAAGATGACTCGCAGGTGTGATACTCAGAGTATCTTCCTCAAGTCCAATGTGGAGTCGGATGAGGATGACTTCGACATGCAAGGGAACAATGGAGGCGGTGTCAGAAAAGCGGCGGCTACGATGGGGTAATTCGGATGTTCACTACAACGCAATTCTTGCATCTCTTCATTGATTATACCGACTCTCTTTTATCCCATAGGACCATCTTTCTCGTGTCTTCTCATAATTTTCATCCAGTCAGTAGAGCGCCGTATTTTTTCACTAGGCACTCACTCGTGATTCTCCACTGGGAAACCAATTGCGTAACTTTCTATTAGATAGTCTCGTCTACATCTTGCCACTGGGCAACCCTATTTACATCTTCCTACTAGACTGCTCGTATGACACGTGCTATCCTTGTAGTTACGATCAGCATGATGATCGTTGTGGACCACGCAAGGTGGATGATGACTACGAAGGCTCACCTAATTCTGGAGCTCGCCGAGTCCCCAACGCTAAAGTCCGTGGGATCACCAGCATGTACGTCGGGCGAATTTCGTGGCGCAGCGGTAATTCCTCTCCTCAGGGGTATGTATTCTGATCGTATGGGTACTGATGATGACGTTACGATGACTAGAAACGATGGTGCGCGAGGTGGTACGCGGCAGTTCCCCTCGCCGCCGAATTTGAGAGCGCGGAAGGGAGGCAATTGGAACACTAGGAGCTTCGGTAGTATTTTTTCAATCGAGTATTCTTTCATGAGGTGGTCAACTGCACTGATATTTAGCCTGATACCACAATGCCTATGTTAATATTTAAATATTGTTATCATGCAAGTAGAGGCTAGTAGTATGATGCTGTATTACCAATCTCTCATCACGGGGCCTCATATATCCAAACAGGAGTATAAAATGAGTCGTGGAGACAATCATGGCAATCGAAATGATGCACGCGTGACCGAAATGAACCACTGAATATTTTTTCTCTCCGAATTGCCTCTCGCACAACTACTCCTTCGTGAATCGAAGGGATGATGGTATATGATTTCGGGAGAAATACTACACTTGTGTTTGTGTCGTTTTTTTTCTGAGTTTTCTGCCGTTGTTGATATTAGGATCCGGTGGGATCAATACGAATTGTCGCATTCTAGCGGTCTTTCAGGCGGCAAGGGCAGTGGCAAGGGAAAGGGGTGGTCCTCTGGAGGGGGAGGCTACCGCGGATCCCGACAAACCACGATGAGCCCCTCTGGTGTGGTGAAGGTGATCCTGAAGCCCAACGCTGGTGGGAGCGGCAGCAGCAGTAGGAAGGGTGGCAAAGGAGGAGGGAAGGGTTATAGAAATTATGGCAAGTAAATTACTAGGCGCATACCCAAGGACAGTATTTGTGATAAGATGTGAATGAGGCCACTTCCAGTATACGTTTGCTCGCCATAACATTGCTGTCACTGTTGAGTTGATGAATTCATAAGTCTCGCCGGCTTGGGCCCATCAGAGAATTTCGGTAATGTACTACAGTCAGCACTCGAATGCTGGCGCTTATCCAACGAGAGCGATGCACCCTCAGCACCATCACTGCTATCTGCCTCGACTACAAGCAACGTACAGTTCTCTTAGAGGACAGCAACATCAGTCTAAGAGTGCTCCACTCAGTGCAACAATGGGGGGAATCTGTCGCGCGCCACAAAATTGTATAGCGAAGGCTCCAATGATCTGTGTGGGGCTGTTCTAATTCTGGTAGTGTTGATGGGAATACAATCTTGTTGCTCTCATAGGCGCCTCGGCGATCGGTCTCTCTTCCTCGTGACGGTCAAGAGACGAGTTGTAGTATCACACACAGCAGTGATCCCGCGAGTTCTGACACGACTGACAGCGGGACGCTTTCACCGGTCTTTACCGTGAGGACTCTCGCAACTAGAGCTCAGTAGCCGACGCCTGTGGTCAGTACCCGGCTGGAGTCGCATCGCTCCGTCGTCTTCTCGAGATTGCTGCCGGTCGATTGAGGGAATCTCAGGATCGGTAAGTGAAGCGTATCAGTGGCATCCCGCCGAAGTTTGGTTCATACGTGAATTCCACTTGGAAAAACTATTAGTAGTGGCGGAGTTGCTGATCTTTGCCGTCCTCAGTTGTCGGACGGCGAGCGTTCGGTTGCTTATCCGAATACTCCTACGAGTCGAGGAATCAACCACACGGTGAGCTGATGGTGTCCCAATTTCAACAACTGCTATACCGCCCTCTCAGAGACGCTTTTCTGAAGCTGAAGGCGAGAGGTGACTGTTGTCAACGACTCAGAGACTTGCACCGGGTTCGGGACCTCGCCCTTCAGTGAGAACCGATGGGCGACATTGTTGATGATGATGATCCTGTCAGGTTGGAGAGCTGCCTCGCTCGGTTCTCTAGTGATATCAAGTCGCCGGTACTACATCGACCGACTCGGGAGTGAATGAGATTGACACTTTCAGCATGACGTGAACATTTGTGAATTTAGCTTCCCGACCTCGTGTTGAGCATGAGTGATGGGTTGGTGGCTGGACCACTTCACAGCGATCTACGTCAGAGACAACAACGAGGTCGCTGGAAGTTGATATTGTTGCGTAGGATCATCCTACTAGGATGCATCGACCATCGATTGCACTGTGCAAGCAATGCGATGATGGGAATCACGTGTCGGTGAACGTAACCTACACGAGGGGAGATCAGTTTCGTTCACAAAGAAATTTAGAGATTCCATTCGTATCGTGGAAGAGGAGTGAGTAGTGATGGGCTGCTCTCATCCTCCTTGCTACACTTGATAGGACGCAACAATTCCATTAATTCAGAGTAAAGGAGGCTCTCCTTTGTTCAACCATGAGGCAACACACTCTTCCACTGAAGCGACACGCGCAATGGGACTAGGCGAGCCCAATAATGCTGGTCGCGGCTCGCTTGGAGGAGCCGATGAAGCGATCGGGGCCACAACGGGCGACACCTGTTTGATAAACAGTGACCAATCAACACAAGTGATGTGAATTGTTATGTACTTCCGGCCTAGTCGCATTAGCTCGGCAATCGAGAATATCTTCGAATTTTCCGAAGCGCTGGGGATCCTTTCGTGCCCGACTGCGACTCCGGCCGATTGATCTGAGAGAACGCTAATGAGTCCGCAAACGTCACCGTGGATATCTATTTGTGTAAAATGTGCGCTTCCAACAACCTCACCTCGTAGCCAAATGTATATCGTCTTCAACGTCTAAGCCTAGTCTAGCCCAGGCAGAGCCCTTGTTGAGCCAACCTTCCTCGACCGTGGGCAGAATTAGCCTGAGAACAGAGTCAGTGCAGTCGTAAGGCTTGTAGCCTACCTCACAGGCCGAGCAGTTGACCTCACTGAGATCGCTACGGGAGGAATTTCGGCAGTTCCAGAAGGAGGAAGAGGATCCCCTGGGTGACTTGGTTTGAGAGCGATGCTCATCAACAAGGAAGGCAACCTGGAAACATTGCAATTTCTTCATGTACCCTTCAGCAACCGAAAATCAGTAAACAACGCGCTCACGAGTGAGTTACAAGAGACTATTCTGCGTTCATAGCTACGGTCGAAATGGCCAAAATCAACGATGGACTCCACGAGATCAGTTTCCTCATTGACAATTTGTCAATGACAAAGGACCCACACCGCTAGATCTATCGAGTTACTAGTATTGGCCTAGTGGCTTACCTTTCAAACTCCGTCCAGTTGATAATACCTCGCCGAGATACATCCAATAACTTGAATAGTGTGGTTATCAGACCATCACTAAGGGCAGACTCACCCAGATAGCAGTTGCGAACCTACTCGACAAAACTGACGTCTCCACACTAAGTTGGAAGTTAAAATGGAATTCCAGTTTGAACAAAGGTTGCAGGAAGGTAACAGGCAACGCACCAGATCATGGAAGGCACCGACGTCAACGCATCCATCGACTTGAAATTCCATGAATCGATGTCGTAGGTCCTCTACTGATATGCTCATGGAATGAGAACTGATGATGATACTGACGCGTTCCCTCGTTGTCTCGTATCGCAAATCCGTAACAAATACCGCGAAGATTCAGAATGAAATGCATTGCGATGCTCGAAAATCTCGAGTACTTGCAAGAAGTTGGAGAGTTTTATCGTTATCTCTTGTTTCGACCACTACCATGGACAACCCAAAACTTAGAATGTCAAAATGTCACAGAATGTATCATTTAGAATTGATACCATGAAGAAGATAACAGTCTCAGAATTGAGGAGATCAGTGTACGTGCAAATGAGCTTGTTGTTGTCATCGCGTCAGGGCCGGCAGGGCAGCTCCCTTATCGATAACCGCGTCTGCTTGCTCGACTATGACATATTCCCTCTCGAAGCTCCAATCGTCATCATCATCAGCGTCTTCATCTCGCGCAGTTTGGTGCCCCATCATAACTGTTTCGTAGAGTTCTTGTTCATTCTTGTCATTCTGCAAATAAAACGATCCTCCGACTCCAGCTCCCCCATGCATGAGCTCCTGACCTTGATGACGACATCAGCTTCCACGCCATTCTCAGCAAGCTTGTGGGCTATCTCAATTGGCAGCCTCTGTTGCAGAAGCCTCTCAGCATTGCGGAAGACTATTGCGTTGGTGAAGGAAGTATCCGAACATGCCGTTACTCGAAACAAGTTTATCACACCTGAATACCACCCATCGAATGGACCCACCATAGAAGCACCTTCTACTTCCCACAAGCAGGCCTTTGCTTTTGCTCACTGCATCATGCGGGACTCCGACCAACCGCACTTCCAATACGAAGTAGTTACCCCACACACCCCTCTTAGTGACCTCAACCTGTTGAGACTAATACAACTTCAATTCGTCAGGACAACGATTCCCCTTTCCTGACCTCACCTGCAGACTGTGCTCTCCTCTAAGAGTAGCCTCCAGCCCTTGCAAGCACGCCGTAGCAACTCTATCAGTGACCGCAGTATCGTGGATGATCAACGCTGCTATATGATACATCACTTGACCTGAGCATCATAATCATACTCATCGACAACGAGGCTCATCTCACTCAGTATTCCCCGTCCAGTCCGTTTCTCGATATTCTCCTCCACAATACTGCTGCTGTTCTTAACTACGATGTTTAGATATAAAACCATTTTCCCGACCTATGCAAGCCTTGTCACCACACCCCAATAGAGAACGCAACACCATCTTTGCGAAGCCACAATGCAAAACGGTCATCATCATCATCAACACGAGTCGTCGCATATAATTGATTGATTCTATGATCTTGAGCTCTTTGATTTCCGGATTGCCTCTATGCAAGAGATATCTACTGTGGAAACAGCAGCGAGCTCATGCCGGTGAAAAGCGCCCAGCTTGTGAGCATTTATTTTTCACGCCCATCACCATGGCATACACCTCGGGTAGCACCCCTACATGGGACTCTCTTCCCTCGTCGTGTGCTACAACCACCATGGCAACGGGCACCACCGGGACAACAGCCATTCCGTGCAGCAACTGATCCCAGGACTACTACTCGCGAAACTTATAAATATAAGCTC